GAGCCAATAAAGACTAAGAAGATTGACTCGGGAACAAATTGGATTATGAGCTCCATTGTAGAATTCGGACCTAATCATTAAGTACGAAACTATGGGAACGATGGAACCTGTGCATGCAAAAGATTTTATTGAAAAAAAGAAGAAGAAGGCCATAGGCAAGGCATTAGTTCGATTGCCATATGTATATCCGATTTGATTAATAAACCAAGAACATAAACAAGTACTCTAAAGACTAGAAAAAAGTATTATTTCAGTGACCACATGAATTCCGAGTGATATGCATGACCCCAATGCATTAAACTAATGCATTGTGAGTCTAACAAAACTTATAACAAAAGAATTTTAATGCATATTGGATAGCCTTTTGATAATGATTTTCAAATCCTGCTCTCGAATTTCTTTCAATATCCATAGAGGGCATTTTCTTTGTGCAACCATTATCCACGTTTTCAACTTTAAACTCACAACATTTACGATGCACATGAGTGTGAGCATAAGCACCAGTAAGTAAATATTCTAAACAACAGGCTGAATTTAATAGAAAATTTCATTTTTCCCAACTCAGCATTATAACATGATCAAAATCTTTCAAGAACCTAACTTTGTGGTATAATCCTAATTGTGTGTAACTTCTAGAGTTTCAGTTAAAATCCAATATGTACTCTATGTGACTACTAAATCCATTACATAACACTACATAAATGAAATGCAGTAAAGTAATAAACTACCCTACATCATTGAACATTAAAAAAAAAAAATCTGAACTAAACTTACTTCAACATTTACTGATCACATCACAATCTCTCGTAGACACACTGCATAAAGGGATTACAACATAATTCAGTGAACACCAAATAACCCTTAAACAAGGGGTACAACCATTTAGGATTAGAAACTTGAATACTATTAAGGCATTTTAACAAACATGTTGCAGGCATGCAACTAATAAGAGAAAACCCAAATGCAAATAAATAAATTGAACTAATTAAAACACATAAATCAGTTCCTGTAAGTGTTACATAAAATCCAATGGCAACTACTTCAAGCACGCACAGAAGAAAAAAATGAGGGCAAAATAAGCCAGAAGTGAGGTTACCTGTGTTACATTTGTTTCCCCAGTGGTGGTCGACTGCAAATTCGGTGAGGACGGTAAGTTGAGGATTTCTTCTTTTTTCGGCGAATCGAATCTTCTAGGGAGTGAGTTCAACCTTGGTTTGGGCAGCCGACGTTTTGGAAGAAGAAGAAGAAGAAATCGATACCTTTTCCAGCTATGCCAAGGGATCTCTGAATGTCGGGGAAGGTCAGCTCTGCCTCGCTCAATGTCGGAATGTGGTACCGTGGAGGGAAGTTTTAGGTTAATCTTTGATTCTTCGAAGTGTTGAAGGAAGTTTTAGGTTGATTTCTCCCCTCAATTCCGGCTCTGGTGTGTGAAGTGGAGTGAGTTATTTCCTCCCATTTCATCTTCTTCCAAACAACCTTTTTTTTTTTAACTTCAAATGTACTGTGCTGACAGTTTTTGTACTTTTTAGAAATATAGTCAAATCTGATTTAATGCTAGTCATGTGGGGTATTTCAATTATGCAGAGGGGCAAAAATGTCCAAAATTGACATTTTTGGAAAGAGTTAAAAAAAGTGACATTTTTGTAAATCCAAAGCCAAAAATTGACATTTTTTGCAATTTCCTCTTAAAAAATAAAATAATATTACACATAAACCTAAAAATTCTACTTACTTTTTAATCACACATTTTTCTACTAAAATGGGTGTCAAACACCTCCAATTAAAATTGACGAAATATATAATTAAAAAATTGTGAATTCACGATATATTTAATTAAAATTAATTTTGACTATAAATATTATAATAATTAAATTTTAATTCCATAACCTTAATTTTCTGCACGTTGTTTTCTCCACGTAACAACAGAACACGACACACAGCTTATTCTCCGTTTTGACTCGACAAATTACCTTCCAAAACAGCAACTATCATCTACCCTTTCACTTTTTCTGTCTTGATGACTAACAATTCTTGAAAATATCTAAAATCCAAATTCTTCATATATGCAAACCCTTTTGTGTTCTCATTCATGTTTTCGTATGAAAATAACCAGATTTAAACGGAACGGGTGTTGAGTAAATCTGTCATGACTTCAGATTCAGTATCTAATTTAAAGCCCGCACCAATTCCAACCAAAGAGGAAGAGGAATTACCAAATTCTACTCCTTCTCTTTTGCCCTTCGACACAGAATCTTCCTCTTTAATCTCCTCATCGTCCAAGCAATCCACCAATAGAGTTCTATTCATTTGTCTAATTCTCACCACGGCCGTGGCTGTCTCTTCAGCTTTTGCCTTTGCCTTTTTATTCTTCTCGTCTACTTCATCTTCATCATCATCATCAACTTATCACTCTGTGGATGAAGTCTCAAGGCCGCTCACGAAGCTCAAACACCCAGTTGTTATATTAATATCCTCAGATGGTTTTCGATTCGGGTACCAATTCAAGACCCACACTCCAAATATCAATAGATTAATTCAAAATGGTACTGAAGCCGAGTTGGGTTTGATTCCAGTGTTTCCAACACTGACTTTTCCAAATCATTACTCTATTGCCACGGGTTTGTATCCTGCTTACCATGGGATAATTAATAACCATTTTATCGATCCAGACACCGGTTTGGCCTTCACTATGGCCAGTCATGATCCCCACTGGTGGCTGGGGGAGCCGTTGTGGGAGACTGTGATGAATCATGGCTTGAAGGCTTCGACTTATTTCTGGCCCGGTTCTGAGGTAAAAAAAGGTTCTTGGAATTGTCCTAAGGATTATTGCATGTATTATAATGGTTCTGTGCCTTTTGAGGAGAGAGTTGATACTGTTTTGAACTACTTTGATTTGCCCAATGGTGAGATTCCTGTGTTTATGACATTGTACTTTGAGGATCCTGATCATCAGGGTCATAAGGTTGGGCCTGATGATCCTCAGATTACTGAAGCTGTTGCTGGAATAGATAAAATGATTGGTAGATTAATTCGTGGTTTAGAATCAAAAGGGGTTTTTGAGGATGTGAATATAATTATGCTGGGTGATCATGGGATGGTGGGTACGTGTGATAAAAAGCTAATCTTTTTGGACGATTTGGCTCAATGGATTGAGATTCCGAAGGAGTGGGTGCAATCATATAGTCCAGTGCTTGCGATTCGTCCACCATCTGGTTCTCAACCAAAGGATATTGTGGCTAAGATGATTGAGGGTTTGAAGTCAGGGAAAGTAGATAATGGTCAGTATTTGAGAGTTTATATGAAGGAGGAGCTTCCTAGTAGACTGCATTATTCAGATAGTGATCGAATTCCACCAATTATAGGCTTAATCGAAGAAGGGTTTAAGGTAGAACAGAAGAGATCTAAAAGGCAAGAATGTGGAGGATCACATGGCTATGACAATGCAATTTTCTCCATGAGGACTATTTTTATTGCTCATGGACCTCAATTTGCTCGGGGGAGAAAGGTGCCATCTTTCGAGAATGTGCAGATCTACAACTTGGTTACGGCCATCCTGAACATTACAGGAGCTCCTAACAATGGGACAGCGTCATTTGCACAGTCTATTCTTTTGCCAGGCCATTGAAAATGAGGCTGGAGTGTTGAAACTGAGATACCAAACTGAATTGGATATCGAGTGAAAGTGTACACAATTATGCATTCTCCTGACGAGGTAATCGCTGATATCTCTGTATTGATACATGTTTTGTTGAGAAGTGGATATTACTAGAACTCAAGCTGATAACATTTTGATTATGCAAATATGAGGTGGATGCAGGTTCACGAGCTAGTTCCTTGCTTTCAACTTATTATGTACAATGTGCTTCACGTGAATGAATGAAATGGTGGTCGAATACAGATCTTGTAAAATATAAGTGATTCTTGTAGTACTCGTGTTTCTGTTGTAAAGTTCAGATGCATAATTGGTTCCTCTATCACA